GGGATTGGTCCTGCTCTGAGCAGGGGGCTGGACTAGATGACCTCCTGAGGTCCCTTCCAACCCTGATATTCTATGATATTATATTCTATGACACAATACTTCAGGTAGTGTCTATGTAGCCAATAATTAACCTGGGGGACTCATTGGTGCAGGAAGTCACTGAGAAATACTGTAGATGGATTTTAAAAAGGCCTGGATAATGTTATGGCCACTAATAACATCTGGAATGGTGTACACTAAGCACATGTTTAATGAGCTCTCTAACTTCAGAGCATAAACTGTTCTGTAGGAATCAGGGCCTCCTGCTTCCCACCCATGAAGCATTACACAATTGGCCACGTGTAATTATGAGCTTTTTGTGAAAGATCTTGGATGTCAGCTGTGATCTGATTGGTTCATGAGGCCTGTCATGTATGCATCTACACAATACACCTTGACACATCTCTCATATGCTGCTACCTCTGGGACTCACTCCTGTGTGTGTGTGTTAACACTTGCACATTATCTACCAGCCTTTATTATAGGTGAATTAGCATCTTGCTGCAGTAGTGACGCCCGCAGTGAAGACTGCAAAACGCTTTTCCCAAACTCCCTATTTTCACATGCCTTCAACTTTCCAAAACCTCCTTGGGGCTGAAATTTCCCAGGGATGGTGTCGAAAGTAATTTTTTTTCAGAAAGCTTAAGCAAAATCCCTTCCTCCATTTTTGAGCCATGGGAAAGTGGACAATCTACTTCGTTCTTATTTTTTAAAAAATCTGACCACATTTTTGAAACAAGGCTATAGCAAAAACAGCTGAAGTTCAGAGTGATAAACTTGTCCCGGGCATACTCCTTAATTGGGATTGAGCATGACTAGGCATAGGGGAGAATTAAAAAATGTCATCAGTAATTGAAAAGTCACTGCAAATCACTGAGCAAATTGCTGCTATTCTCAGGCTGTTGCTGGGGAAATTTGCAAGCAGGAGAATGTCACTGAAATGTCACACTCAGCCGCATCCTCCCCTTTCTGCCCCAAATCTTCCCTGCCCCCAGCTCAGGAGACAATCTTGCATTCTGCAGCTCAAAATATGACAACTATTTAAACATAACTAACAAGATACCAGCAAAGCAGCCCACAGTCTGCTCACCCAGAAGCACATTCCTCTTCCCTGTCTTGCTTCTCCTTCCCATTGTCCTTCCCGCGCCCAGTCATGGTCTGCTGGTCTTCAATTGCTTTTGAGGTTTAGATCATCAACTCCGCAGGCCTGGGACCCTGCTACTTAATTGTATGAACAATTCCTTGCACTTCATGTAATAAACCTCCACTGAGGGGAGAGTAAAACGTGACGCTGTGATAAGGAGGAGTTGGAGGTTTCTCAATCCCATGCCAGTGGTGCCTAGGGACTAGCCAAGAATGGCCACGTCGTACTTGGTGCTGTACAAACAGAGCTGCGGACAGTCCGTGCCGCAAAGAGGAACAGGGGGAAGGGGGATAATGCACAAGCAGAGTGAACAATTGACTTGTTTGGCTGATGGTGTGTGGTTGGGAGGGGATGTACCCCATGGCAAGGCAAACGAGAGGGAGCATTGAGGGGAGGGAGTGGTGGGGGCATGAGGGGCAGGTGTGGAGTGAGGCTGAAATGAAGAGACCAAGGGAGGCAGCAGGCAGGGGTTGGAGCAAACCGCCCATCAGCCCAGGCCAGGGAAAGGCCGGTCCAACTGTAGAAAGTTTCTGATACTGGTGACACTGAGCAGCTCCTGCAGCTATGCTCCGGCTGGTTCCAGCTGCTTCCTCCACCCTGCTACTGCTGCCTGGATCCTGCTGCCCCGGGGAAGTGAGAGCAGGATGCAGCATCTCAGCAGCTCAGAGGAAGCAGCCGGAGCCTGTTCCCATTCGGCGTGGTCCCTGGAGGTGCTCTTCTCTGCAGCTGCTGCCTGGATCCTGCTCCCCATGCCCCTGCCTGCTGCCCAGGGGAAGTGAGAGCACGGGTGGGAGGTGTATGACCCCCGGTGGGTCGGGAACCGGCGTTTGGGAAGCATTGGCATAGAGCAGGGGTAGGCAACCTTCGGCATGAATGCCAAAGGTGGCACGTGAGCTGATTTTCAGTGGCACTCACACTGCCCGGGGCCGGGGGTCTCTGCATTTTAATTTAATTTTAAATGAAGCTTCTTAAACATATTAAAAACCTTATTTACTTTACATACAACAATAGTTTAGTTCTATATTATAGACTTATAGAAAGAGACTTCTAAGAACGTTAAAATGTATGACCGGCATGTGAAACCTTAAATCGGAGTTAATAAATGAAGACTCGGCACCCCACTTCTGAAAGGTTGCCGAGCCCTGGCATATAGCATCGTGAGCAATGGGCACTTTACAAATGCAGAGTAAATCTAACAGCCTGGTTTCCTGCAAAGTAGGGGATGAAATCACCCGCAGGTA